TTTGAGCTCTTCTCCAGGGGAACAACCCATTGTCCTTATCAGAAGGGAGTGGGTCTTACTCAGAGTGGGACAGATAATAGCGTCTGATTGCCTTAGATGCTGACAACCTTCAGGCAGACAACCTTTAAGTAGATGGACTTCCAAGTCTATAGTCAGTGATTGCAAACAACACCTTAGGTTTGGCATATATTATGGGGGGACAACCTGGGGAATACCTTTTCTGTTTCCCACACCCTAAAAGCGGAAAAAAAAAACCCAAACAACTAAAAGCAACCTACTGCCACATATATTAGCATTGTAATGATGTTACTAGAGGATACAAATGAATTAAGACGATGATAAAATATTAGGCTGATAACCACAAGGCCAGCAGGTTGAATTCCCCAGCCACTCTTCAAGGGAAGAGGGGGGTTCCTTGCTCCCATAAAGATCAGTAGTCTCGGAAAGCCAAAAGGGGAGCACTTTTTTAGAAAAAAAATTATTATTAATCATTTTACTAATGATTAATAAATCTTACAAATCTTATAACACTCCATCATTCAATTGTATTACATACACTTGTACATATGTTGCCATCAACATTTTCAAAACATTTTCTTCTACTTGAGCTCTTGGTATCTACTGCTCATTTTCCCCCTCCCTTCCTCATGAATCCTTGATCAATTACATATTGTTATTGTTTTTTCATATCTTACGCAGTCGTTGTCTTCCTTCACCCACATTTCTGTTATTCACTCCCCTTGGAGGGGGCTGTATATCCAGCCTTGTGATGGGTTCCCCCATTCCCAACCCCCTGTGGTAGTTACATAATCTGACGTCAACTTAAGACTATTAATAGTGAAGGGGTGGAATTTAGCCTGTCAACCAGGTCACAGCTTGATGACCTCATTTGGAGGAGCGATGGAGATAAATATCTCACTGGAGGCCAGACCCATACCCTCTGCTTCATCTTCTCGTTGGCAAGCCACATGGAGACACACTGAGGGAGCCAGAGCCCAGGAGCTGGAGGAACTATGTGTAGACTCACGCCAGTGCTGAGATGCTTCCATCGCCACTGGATCCAGAAGACTTTCCACCCACTGGCCTGTGATCTTCCTGCATTTGGCATCCTTGCGTGGCTGTGTGAGTCCAAAGAGGAATTTATGGACTAGTATTGACATATGGGATATCAGACTTTATCTGGACTGGGCTGGGATGTGATATTTTCTTAATATACAATTGCTCTTTGATATTAAGTTCTCTCTTACACACATATGAGTGTCTCTGGATTTGTTTCTCTAGTCAACCCAGAAAAACACAACCCTTTTTCCACTCCCCACCACCCTCCTACCCTCATGGTATCACTACTCCCACTACTGTTCCTGAGGGTTTTATCTGTCCTGGATTCCATGTGTCCAGAGCTCTTATCTGTACCATTGTGTGTACTCTGGTCTAGCTGGATTTATAAGGTAGCACGGGGTCATGGTGGTGGGGTGGGGGGAGAAACATTCAGGAACTAGAGGAATGATGTGTGTTTCACCATGGTTGAATCATCCCTTCCTTGTAACCCTTCAGTGGGGGGATGTCCAATTGTCCTTTGCATCCATATAATTGCTTGTTTTGGATATTTTGATACCTGATCCCATTGACACCTCAGGGGCAGCTCTTCTCTGTCCTTGGCGTTGCTATAAGTCAGAATGAACTTAATGACGGTTGAGGGTTTTCTTTTTTCACTAACTATGGTGCTGGAAAAGAATATTCAGAATATAATGGACTGCCAAAAAGAATAAACAAGTCTGTCTTGGAAGAAATGCAGCCTGAATGGCCCTTAGAAGCAAGCATGGCAAGACCTGATCTCATATTCTTTAGACATGTCAGGAGAGACCAGTCCCCAGAGAAGGACATCATGCTTGGTAACATAGAGGGGCAGTGAATAAGAGGAAGGCCTTTGACAAGATTGATTGACAGAGGGGCCGCATTGATGGGCTCAAACATAAGAACTATTGTGAGGATGACATATGATTGGGCAGTGTTTCATTCTGTTGTGCATTAGGTCACTATGAGTGAGAATGGATTCAATGGCACGTAGCAAAATGACACCTATTGCCATCAAGTTGATTTTGACTCATAGAGACCCCACACAGGACAGAGTAGAACTGCCCCTTTGAGCCGACAGCCTCCTCTTTCTCCTGTGGAGCACCTGGTAGAGTTGAGTTGCTCACCTTATAGTTATCAGCCTAATATGTAACCCAGTACAGCACCACAGGACTCCTTGTTAAAATGCATAATATAGTGAGATAGAATTGTTTTCAATGATAAGATACTGAACATAGAAAGCTCACAAGATCCTACATGTAAATTATTGGCACTAGCATGTGCATTTATCATTGTAGGTGGATCTGAAGGAACTGTTTATCTGTATTAGTAACAACCAAATAACGACATTAAAGGGTATGATATTTTGATAAACAGCACCCAACTTCATATTCTTCATAGTGAAACTAACAGAATACGTTTGGGATCTCTACATTAAAGCCTTGGAAATGGTTTTTTTTTTTTTTGAGAAAAATTAAAGGAGTCCTAAATATTGTAGTGATATACCATGCTCATGAATTAGGATTCCAATTATGGTGGTATAGTGGTTACATGTGGAGCTGCTAACCACAAGGTCAGCAGTTCAAAACCACCCGCCTCTCCGAGGGAGAAAAGTGAAGCTTTCTATACCTGTAAAGAGTTCCAGTTTTGGAATCCCGCAGAGGCTATTCTACCCAGTCCTATAGGTTGGTTATGAGTCGGAAATGACTTGATGACAGGGAGTTGGCTTTGGTCTGATTCAGAGATAAGACATTCTGCCCCATAGAGTTGGCCCACAGTAGTGAAGCAGGCCCCTGGGGTCTCTTGAGCTTCAGCTATGCACCACGTTAACAAGAATCACCAGCAGCATGGCGAAGCAAGTCTCAAAGGAGCGACAAGATCGTGGGTTGGCTTGGCCCACAGGTAGTGCAGCACACGGTTGAGGCATAGATCAAGCTGGTCTTGATCACCAGGGAGAAAGAAAGAAAGGGTGTGGACTTGGAAAGCCATTTATCTTGCCGCCCTCCAATCAAGCTGCAACCTGATTAAAGTCCGCCCATGGTTCCCTATGAAGCCTAGTTGGCACAAAAACCCTAACTATCACACATCCATAAAAGAGAACCGAAAATGGCTCTAAAAAGTGCCACAAAGACAAAGCAATATGTTTTATCGATCATTCTTTCTAAGGAAACATTTTATAAGAATGATATTTTATAACAGTCTTGTATGTATCCATTTAACAGGAGACTTTGGGAACGCAGAAATCCAATCCTCTGGGAAACAGAACGATTTCTCTCAAATTGTCTCCCCCAAATATGTGCCAAACCTAGCTGTTTGCTACACGTGGCAAATGACTATACACTTGGAGGTCAACAGAAGTAGGTCAGGGGCGGTTCTCCTTAAGGGTTATCAGCCATCTAGAGCAATCAGACTGTATAGTCTGTCCCACCCTAAGTGGGGCCCACTCCCCTTTGATAAGGATAGTAGTAGATTGGTTCCCTGAAGGAGAGCCCAGGGAGGTCAAGCCCACTGAAGGGTGACCAAGGTTAGGCTGCCACGTGAATCTTGGGTCCGCCCTTCTTGTCACATGTATACCTCTAATCCCTCCCCTTCCTATCATGTGTCCCTAGCTCATACCCTTCCTGTTACGCTATGCCCATTGTATATCCCCCTCCTATTGCTTTTATTGCCTATTGTACAGCCCAATCCTGTGATGTGTTTGGTTACCTGTAATCACGCCCCCTAAGTAGATCTAAGCCTTGGTTAACAATAAATCATGCTCTCTCCTGCCCTGTACCACCAAAGGAGTTGAGGTGAGCATGCTACCATGAAATGTGTCTGACTTCTTTATTTTACTCTCTCTCCTATCACTCTTACTCTCTATGATTTTCTTACAATCTTTATATATCTCAACTGTACAATTGCGCTTACTGAACCTGTAAGTTGTGGGGGGCTGGCTACCCCCACAAAGTCCTAACAAAGGCAATATTTGGGAGTTGATAGGACAAGCACCAAACATTCCTTCAACCACAGATCTGGAGGCTGGGGTCCAGAGGGAACAGGGCCAGGCAGGTCCTGCAGATGGGGAGTGAATTGAGGGGTGAGGGGGAAAGGCCAACCCTCCCCACAACCAATCGTGGCACAATTGTATGGTTAAAAATATATATGTGTATTATAATAAAGTCAGAGGGCATGAGAGATAAAAGAGAGATTGAAACAATGGAATCAGACGCATTTCATGGTAGCATACTCACCTCAGCCTGCTTTGTGGAAATGGGAGGCCAGAGGGCAGGAGAGAGGGGGAGGGGAAGGAGGACAAGGGGAAAGGGAATGGGGAGAGAGGACTGGAGAGGAGAGGGAGCCGATGAGAGGCAA